GAAAGTCCCGCGAAAGGAAAGCAACACTCGGCGAAGAAACCATTTTCAGAAACAGGAATATTGATCAACGCTCAGTTGTATACATATTGTGTGTATGAATATATATATATATGCATATATATATATAGAGGTATAGATATAGGTATCGATATATAGATTTATGTATATATACACACATACGTACAGTGACATACAGTTATACTGGTGGATGGCAACGCAAACGCACGCGAACATGTGCCTGCACATGTCTATCAACTTTTACATGCGTACACGTTCACATCCAGACACAAACACACACAGACAGCTGTATGTAATGATCGCAGCATTGGGCAGTGCAGTACCTAAAAATACTCGATAGAAGCCAGGACTTGCCCGAATCCCATCTGCAACTGGCACAACCGGAGCAACAAGAGCAGAACATCAAGCGAGTAGAATGAGGCAAAGAGAGGCAGAAAGTTCACAGTACTCGGAGTCAGAACAGTAGTCAGTGCAAGCTTCTACTGCGCGTCTGTTTCAGGATTCTTAGAGTTATCCTCTTTGAGTATCCGTGTGTGTGGCGCCCTTGCCTGATATGGCTATTCTTTCGTTTGCTATAACCGGTCATCTTCAACGTACTCGTTGCGGTGGAGGCACGTGCATATTTAGATATTTAGATCTGTGTGTATCACAGTATTTGTTTCGTGTGTAATAGACATGGGTGTACATAGGCCTATACATTGTCTGACACGTGTGTATGTCCCGGTCTACTTATTTCTACATACGTGTGCATGTGAATCATACTCACGGTGCTTAGAGCAATTGCCAGCAGAAAGCACAAGAATGGGCAAAGAAACAAGTTGGCACATAGATGCTATGCGATACCTGCGGAGAATAGCAAAAGAGTGCGCATTGGGTATAGGAAGGGGGCCAGAGCAGGCAGCAAGGAGGCATGTAACGACAGTAGGGAAAGTGAAGTCATGATTGGGACGTTGCTATGTGAGGACTTCGGTCTACTGGCCTCCCGCAACTGCCTCGATGGCGAGGCCACTTTGACAGAGAGTCTTCGGCCAAAATTCCACCCTCATCCCAGAAGCAGATGCGGACTGTTCAATGTGAGCACATGCAAAATGCAGAGCTCCAAAGGTGTCACTTGAGGCACTGACAGCAAATTGTAGAACGTCAAAAGGCCCGGGCTTCTTTGTGCACATTGTGAGTGCATTCAGGGGGAGGTTTGCGAACAGTTAACAGACTTAAAGCTTAGCCATCGCATAGTTGAGCTTGGGCCGGAAACGTTGGCATTGTCAAAAGACGTGACATTGCGACGTCTGCGTATCTCTTTCAGTCATGTGCTCACAAGCCGTTCTCGTTTTGAAGCATTCATGCAGAAGTAGAACCAGTGCCACGATGACACGATGTGCTTGACTGTCGGCAGTCCACGCCCAACTTTCCCGAGTAGGGCAGAATGGGCTGATTGCAAATCCTCAAAGCATACCTGTCACCTCTGTTCTGTGCTCTCTGCATGCAGGAATGATCAACATGCGACGGTTGTGCTTACCACGTCGACGTCTCGGACAAATCTTCGAGCCCGCCAAAGCATTTGCTTTCTCAAATTCTCCCAGGTTGCCTCCAGAGATGCGCAGGCACGGGCAGTATGCACAACTGGACCTGGCACTAGCACCGGCTACTGTCACGATTATTGTGTTTGTATGGCTACTAACGATTGATGTCCTTAAATCGTTTTGTTTTGAACATCTTCACTGGTAGTGCGTTTGGTGTGTTTGCAGTTTTGCTGCTCGGCTAGTGCAAGTGTTCGACTGGTGGCACGAGCATATAGAACACTGGGCTAGTTATCCGCAAGACTAGTTGAGCTGCAGATGTTCCGAACTGCTCGGATCGTTTGCGGGGCTCGTCCTAGTCCTGTAGCGTGCACATGTTGAGAAGGTTTGGCATCATTGGCATGAATCCTTTATATGGCTTTGTTTCGTTTGATGTGCCGATTTTTTTAGTACGGCCGGCAAGTACATGGCATTTGTCAGGCCTGGCGATGTCTCCGCAGCTGAGGAGCCAGAAATTCTATCAGCGGGCCGTGGCCCAAGACAGATCTTGCACATGCAGCTGCAACGATCAAGCAGGTCCAAGCTTTGCTGCTTTGCAGTGTCATCATTCAATGGTGATGACGCAACCTCTGAAGATGACAGGCTTTGTTTGCTTGCTCGTACCAAGGTTACCTCGTTCGAGGAAGTGACGGCCTGCACCCTAGTGCAGCGGCCCGGGAGATGATGTGGAGATTGACAGTCGTGATATCATTCCATCAATCCATCGGAATGCGGCTTTGTGTGTAGACTGTCTAATCGGAAGATTACGTGCTGGTATGGATGCGCTGTCAGCTGCTAGTAGCTCTAAACAGTTGTCATTTGTCTGCAGTAGTCGCTTAATTATACTTCTCTATTTATATACCTAAATGTCGTATAGAATGCATCGCGATGCATCGCAGATCTAAAAGCTTGCCACTGCTGGTCCGCTTATATATGTTACATACTTGTAAGTTTTGCCTGTCCACTGCCCTCCACTCCCCCCTCCCGCTCCCCATCCGTACCTTCCCCGGCTCTGCGACGCAGCAAGCCCTCAAGAATTCCAGCTGCTCTTTTCCGTATTGATGTCCGGCGGCCTCTGTTCAGCAAGCGTTTGCTTCGTTGCGCGGCCAGACTCGCTATGCAGCGCATGGTACCAGAGGATTGCACAAGTGTCTCCGTTCTGGTCACAGCACCTCATTTCAGACTCGTGTCTGTCGGCAGACACGGCGGATCGCAATGATGCAAAGGGAGTTTCAAAACAATGTAGACAACCAGTCGGATGTCGAAGTACTGCATATTGAACGACTATCAGTTTATGCTTGCCTGGTACAGTGTGTTTCCGGCCTGTGCTACAGCATGAGTAGGAATATGAAGACATTCCATGACCCCGCTCGGGGCCGGCGCCTCCTAGGAATGGAAATGGATATTGTTGATGGAGATGGACGATTTTTTGGTCGTCTTGGTCGTGACCCGGACAGGCGACAGGGCAGCTGGATGAGCTTTGCAACGGCGGATGCCGTTACAGGGATGGGCAGTTCAAGATTGGGGCTGGACTGGAGGGAGTTCGCTATGTACCGAGGGTTGAGACTCCAGTTCGCCTGCCCTGACCTGTGCTCGAAAAGAAGTTCAGCGTGCTACCCCGGACAAATGAGGCGCTCTCGGTACTGCTTGCGGTGCGGTGAGCACGGAGAGGCCAAGTACGCGAGACATCTGTTAGTTCTGTTAATGGCAGGAACAGCATGTTGTGCAGCGTGCATGCATGCTTTGAAGTCTTTCAAGTTCGTGCTGGTCACACCAGCAACTTCATGTTTGAGCTGCCCTGGGAGACCCGCATGTATTGTGACGGCGTGTACGAAGACTTTGCGCTTCTGCTGACAGACGACATGCAGGACACTTCTGTGCAGTGATGCGAACGCAGGCAGAAACGATCATCAGCAGTTGAACCGTTTCGTGCGGTCCAGGAGGTTCTGGGCGAGGTGGAAACCTTCAGCTCGGCCAATGCTCCCTTCAGCGACGCCGGAACCCAGGGAGACCCATAGCGCTTGCAAGCGGTGCAGGCGTTCCACGTATGCGACTGCAGACATGGGTGTGCCCTCTGCAACCATTTCGGCACAAGCCTCCCTGCGATTTGTGCTGTGTGTCGTCGTAGTTTTGGTTTTCAACCCTTTGGTGCAGTATGCCGGCAACTTGGCTCAAATCCGTGTGTGCAAGCCGATGCATGCTTTTACACCCTGCAAGAACTCGAACTCAATCGTGTCAGCTTCCCGTTGGCCTGAACCAGCAGTCAAGCATGTTCTTAGCAGTTGGGCCTTGGACTCCGTGTGGATTGCTTCGGGCATCAGGCTTGACATATCTAGTGAGTCTAGTGCATCGCAGGACATCTCAGGCAGGAAGCCTAGCGCAACCTGGTCGTAACTGGTAGTGTTGCGAGAGAAAGAAACCCACCATCCTGAGAGATATCAACTATGTAGAGGCAGAGACAGGGAAAGAATGCTCGAGTTCCGTGTCAGGAAGGCGACAAGGTTCAGCTCAAGTCCTCGCAGGGCGAGATCTTCGAAGTGGAGCCTGAGGTGTGGGCGCTGCTAGCTTCGCCGATATGTAGTGAAACACAAATGTCAAAAGTTGCAGTCACAATGACCTGCGAGCACACGGAAGGTGGCATGCATGTCCACCTTGGTGAAGAACATGGTGGAAGACAGTGGCACTGATGAGGAGATCCCGTTGCCTAATGCACCTTGGCACTGCAAATGGCGCATTTCATTCCTTCTGGGTGGATGGAACATAGGGCGCTGTACGAATGGAGAGCTGGAAAGCACGTCGTCAGGTCAAGACGGCAATCCTGTCCAAGGCGCTGAGCTTGTGCTGCGTGGCCGTTCCTCTCTTGGCTGTCAGACATGTCTCGACAGGTGATCGACTACTGCAAGTACCACAAGGACCGCTCACTTGTCCGAGCTCTGTGAACGATGTGTAGCTTCATCGGTTCTGCGAGCTCGCAGAGGTCAGGGTCGTGAGTTTGAGCAGCTCGCAGGACAATCCACCTGAGGAGATCCAGAAGCCTCTCAAGAGCACCAATTTGGTTGAGCGGTTCCCTCAGCGACACCATGCCACGAAGCAGTCAAAGAAGCCTGCGCGTAATCTCAGGTGTGGCGTGTCAGAGTGGGACAACGAGTATGTGAACATCGAACAAGAGGTTACGATGATGTTCGCTATCTTGGTGAAGCTGCGTTGCATCTGATCAGATATGATGCAAGAGGTCCTTTTCGAGCTGATCCTTGCAGCCAACTACCTGGACATCAAGAGCCTCCTCGACCTGACCTGTGCAAAGGCGAGCATCTTAAGCAGACTAAGCAATGCCCGGATCTAGGGTCACCTGACTTCTCGTCTTGATCATGGGCCTCAGGTTGCATCCATGATCAAGGGCAAGAACACTGAGGTCCACAATGGGTGTATATAAGTGCGTTTGCAGCGCCGAGAAGAAGCTGTTTCCGACAGGAAATCCGCAAGCAGTTCAACATCGTGAACGACTTCACGCCAGAGGAGGTCCCTATGAAAAACACCTGCTCCCTTGTCGCACGGGTCATCTCTGCATGCGCATGCTCGGGCTGCCACAGGAGGCGCAGGTTCGAGAGGAAAACCGCTGCGGTCTCAGTTCAACGCCAGTGGCCCCAGCATCTCGACGCAAGAAGCATCTTCGACAAAGCCAAGGTTGGTGTGAAGATGCTTGAGTGAGTAGCCACACTTGTCCAGGGCTAGAAGGCCTGTGGAATATGGCTTTTCGCGACGACAAGAAGCTCAGCAGTTTGCTGGCAAGGCTTACCCAGCAGCGGAACAAGAATCTCAACAAATCTGTAGGAGTTGGCATCTGTCGCAACAGGAGTGAGGAGGCCCTTGCATTGTTCGTACATGATAGCTACTTGTACTACCTGGCGCAGCAGCGAAGCATTGCTAGCTCTAGTCGTCCGTACTCGCCTTCGCATGCACACGTCGTGAGGCCTGCAGTCCTTGAACCATACACACCTTGCTGACGCATGGGTCCCCTGTCCTCGCTGTCCTGCATCCCCAGGGGTAGTGTGAGCGACACCTCTCACAGACTCGCAGCGACTTTGGGGAGATTTCGTCTACGGTCTACGGCAGTTCAATCCTCCAACATCCTTTCCACCCTTCCTACTGCGCAATGCTTGCCCGTCACGGCCCGGGAGACCTCATTCTGGTGTAGTCAACTATTCTTGTCCTTACTCAGGATCCCTTGAAAACCGCTGTCAGCTAGCTTGGGTGATCTCTTGCCAGCCCAATTCGCCCAGAACCAGAAGAGTAGATCTTTGCAAGCCAGAAAAAGCTCGCGCATGCATGGGGGGATGCGGGATGATGCTTGTGAATGATTTGGATGAAGTCTGTTGCTTCCCTCCGTCGCTCGAGGCCGTGGGGTGCATTTGCATGAAGGTCAGCGGCAGCCGAGATGGCGTGGATGCAGGCCGGAAGAAAGAGAGCAACTCTGTCTTCGTGGTCAATGAGATCTTGGGTTGAATCCCAGCCGAGAGTCCATGCCGGATAGAAACCGATGAAGTAGGCCTACGCCGAGGTCTGATGCTGGCCATCTACTTTGGGGTGTATGAGCTCCACTGGGGCCTGGCAGGTTGACCACAGCATGTGCTTCGAAAAGACGGAATGGAGTCCCTTATGCAAGCATGCTGCCGGAACGACGTGTGTGGCAAGTTGTGAAAGCATTGCCAAAGTCAGGCCTTCCGCTGCCTTGCACACCCATGTGGGCTCAAAACCTTAATGCCTTTATCATAGGGCTGCCTGCGAGAAGCGCATGCCTGCTGTGGAATGTCGGAGCCCAGCGCATCGGCCACAAGCCAGTGGCAGTCGACCCCTCAATGCAGATGGCAAGGCATGTAACACTCGTCTTGACTTACCTTCATCACACGTCTTCATCTGTATCGGTGGCTCTGGGTACCTAGCTGGAAAACTGCTGTTTGATTGCGGCAGGAGAAAGGCTTGGCATGGTTCACCTCACGGGCCGGACACCTCGTTCAGTGGCAGGACGTCTTGGCGGTTCTCCAAGACATTCGCTGTGCGAGGCACGTGACCCTGCTCTGTTCTCAACATGAGCCATTGATGCCACCAATAGCGGCATATGCAGAGTCATGAGACATGGCTTCGCACACCAGGGTTCATAACCGTTGAACCGCTACACACCTGTTCGTCGAATCGAAGAGGGCCTCGGCACACGAGCGCCATGGAGAGCTCGCTCAGTATTTTCGCAGGCTGCAGGCAAGTACTGTCAGCTTCAATGCCGTTGCCTGCGGGCTCAGCCGGGCAAAGCAGTGGCAGTCGGCTCAAGAGGCCGCTTTGACTTGATTGGACTGGGATGTGTTTTCACACACTGATTAGAGAGGATCTGTTAATGATTTAATTAGTGTCGGCTGCGTTCCCTATTCTACCGTGTAGTCCATGGCTCCAATCTTTACTGAGCCAATCCCCAAGCCCTTGCACTTCCCAAACATGCTGAAGAAGATTACCCCGGGATCTTTCATACTATTTACTGCACAACTTGCCAGGAGTTCCTTGCCTCCTTGCTGGGAGTAGGGCGTCCGACTTCTTCCAGAATTCTCAGGTTTCGGTTCCTGGGGTGTCGAAGCTGTGAGATACATAGATTTAGTAGGAAGGCGGCACAGAATCTGCCTTGTGAGAGCCGCCCATTGGTGAGGTAGTGGATTTAACTCTGAGGCCCAACACTGGATGCAGGGTTGCGCAGAATCATCTACATGTTCCACGCCCACCACCCTAAACCCTGAACCCTACCTTCAAGCCTTGACGGCTCCGAACATGTGGGTGTTGTCACTTGAGGGTCGAGCTAGAGGTGTTAGTTAGTACGAGGCTGTTTGCGCAGGGTGGACCGTGGGCCCCATGTAGCCGGTTGGGGCGAAAAAGGGTGTCAAAAAAAGAAAAGCCTTTGCTGGGGGCCCCCAACCCTAAAGCTCGAAGGTCCTGTCTGCGCTGCGGGCTCTGGGGCTTCAACCGCGCGCAGCATCCCTGGGAGCTGCCGTGGGCTCTTGCTTCTCAGCTGAGGTCTATGGTATAAGATAGCATCGCATAAGAAATCTAGTACAATGTAGTACAGCATGGTATATTATAGTTATAGTCATAGTGTAATATAAAATAGTATAGTAGAATATTGTATGATTGGACAATAAACCAGAATATAGTATAGCATAATACAGGACAGCAAAGTATAACATAGTACAGTATAATGTAGTAAAATGCAGTATAGTATAATATAGTACAATATAGTATATACAATGTAGTGCAATATAGTATAGTCTAACATAGTTCCACACGGCCCACAGGGCAAAAACAGAGTTATTGACCGCAAAATGCGCACCACTCGTTTGCAAGAACGTGGGTCCAGGGGATCCCATGGGATCCCGCTGAAAGCAAAGCTTCACAGGTTGCAGATGCTGGCACACACACACACATACACACCATAAGCTCACATGGTCAATGGTGACAAGCTTCCGTTAACTACAGCATCAGCTTCATGTCTCAGCCGCACTGAACCTCTGGCCATGGGATCTTGTGGAAGTCGCCGGGTGGATGCCAGGCATGAGCACCCACAGCAGGCCCCAATGTGGGTTCTGCGCATTGAAACATGTTGCCGCATCGCTGAAAGCTCAGGGTCTCTTGGAACCATGGAGCTCCAAGATGTTCACCCTGTTCATTTCACACCAGTGATTGGGCTTCCGCCATCCTGATGCAAATGGGGTCAAGCTGCAAGTTCTTCAGACTGTTTTCAATGATTTGATGACCAAGCGAGTCACCATTCCAAATTGGCACATGTGGATGGACTACTTCTGTGTCCCTCAGCTGGTGAGAGGGTTTCTGGTGACTGGAGAAGAGCAGCTTTTGTACATCAACAGTTGTAGCTATGTGGAGCTCTGCAGTATTTTTGTTGCTTTGGTTCCACCGGCTCTGCACAATGATGCGCAAGCAGCATGTAATGTGCACAGCTCAGCGCCCTCCTGCTGCTGCTTGGATGGAGGACGACCTCCACCCCACTGCCCGAACCCTTCAGGCTTGCGTTCGTGCCTCTGCGCGCCGTGCTGGTTTGGACGGCAGGGCTCCTAAACAGCGCCTCCCTCTTGACTTCTACAAGCTCCTTGCTCGGCTTTGGGCTGCCTGTTTGGGGCCTGCCCCAAGCCTGGTGCCAGGTCCGTGTCTCTTGCCTAAACCCGACGGCGGCCGCCGGCCCCTGGCCGTGGCCTCTGCTCTTTGGTGTGTGCTTGCCGCGGTCGTCGTTCGCAAGCTCCTTTCCTGGACCTTGACTCGGGCCCCCGGTGAGCTGCTGGGTTCCATGCCTCGCCGCCCTAATGCCGACTTGCACGCTACCTTGGCCTGCGACGCCCATCGAGCCTGGACCAACCCTTGACCAAGCCTTTGAGGTCGCCAGGTGGTTGGGTGCTCCTCCTTCCCTCCTGCTCCAGGCAGGAGCGCCACATCGCTAGGCAAATTGCATACCACCGCTCCCCCATCGTTCCTACGTTGCGGCTCCTCCAGGGCTGCCCGTTCTCGCCGCTGTTGCTCAACTGCGTGTGCGCATGGTGCGCGTCGTTAGGGCCGCTGAGCCGAGGGCTTTTCTCTTGCTGTTTACCTTGACGACAGGACTGTTTGGCGTGTGGGTAGACAGGCTTCTCAGGTGGTGGTCGCCGCCGCGCGAGCGGGCACCACCTTTGACGACTTCTTCGGTCTGCGGTTGCACCCCGACACTCCAAATCATTTTCTATTATTTTGCTCCATAGAAGGACGCTCATCCTGGAATTTGGTTTGCGGATCAATGGCAGTTGCGAGCCAACGTTTGATGATAACAAAGAGTAGCCGACAATATAGTATAACATCGTATATTACAGTATAGTGTAATGTAGTATGATATACATGATATAAACGTCTAGGAGTCTAGGCAGTCGAAAGATTTGGTGTTTCCGAGTCTCAGAGCCTTGAGCGAGGAGCGTAAGGTCCACGGCGAACCAGGAATTCTTCCGCATGTGAGGATTTGCAGGGGTGGTAAGTACAAAGCAAGCCTGCGGCCTACGCTGCTGGCTTTGAGTTTAGGATCGTCGCTGAGTCAACGTGTGATATAAATCCAACAGCTGTTCGCACTCTTCTGTGCCTTGTGAAGGCCAAGCTGCTGGAGGACTTTGGCGGCAGGCCACCCGTCTACTGCACACTGCAAGGCGCAGAGGGGGCTTCATCTACTGTAGCTCAAGTCCTTCCACGAAGACTCAGATTCGGCCAATTCTGTGCAAACAGGAAAGCCTGGTGCCTCCAGACACTCAGTGCCGCGATTTGCTCAGCAGTTGCTGCACATGGGCCCTCAAGCTGGCAAGCGGCTGAAGCTCTAATCGGACAGCTCGTCCAAAGTGGCGGTATCCTGAACATCGCACCTCGAAGCCTGCATTGCGTGGGAACTTTGTTTAAGATGTGCGTGCACGCACTAGACCCAGACAGAGACAGCCAAGGCACACCTCAACTGCCAGCTAGACACTCTCAGCATCCAGGCCACATTAATCTCAATGTGCAAGCTTTCAGGTGGTAGGATGGGAACAGAACGCCGAAAGCCAATGCTTCATGGATCTCGGTCATTTTCGGCCTACCTGGCTGAGCGGGAGAAGATGGTAATATGTAGTAATGGTAGTTGGGACAAATCGAGGTGGTGGGCTCTGGGCAAATGCATTGGACAAGGTCGGCAAGATCGCCTCAAAGCCGGATGTGTCTTGGCCTGCCCTGCTCTTCTTCTTTTCGTCCCGTCAACCATGGAGCCTCTAGCTGCATTCTGCAATCGCAGCAATGGTGACAGTGGCGAAGGTTATTACTTTCAACACCATGATCCACGCGACAACGGCAGATGTCTGGCAGCTCTCACTCAGCTTTCTGCAGAATATGAGGTGGGCCAGGTTATCATGCACTGTGAAAAGCTCCTCGGCTCGAGCGCAGCCCCAGGCAAATTCACTACAATGTTACAATATAAGGCTATAATACACTACTGTAACATACTATGATCTATGATACTTTAATACTTATTATACTTAAATACTATGACTATGATCTACTATACTCTAATACACTATACTAAGTAATACTAAGGTTACGGTGCTTTGGCTGCCGGCCTGGAGTCCTGCTGGGTGTTGGCTGTCCTGTTGCTTCGGACCATGCGCCGCAGCAGCGTGGAGATGAACGCTATCGTCAAAGGTTCCGTGGCAGGCCTGCGTGCTTAGGGGTTTCGGCTGGTTTTGAGTTTATGGTTTAAGGCTGTTCGATTTTGAGTCAGCATGTAACCAATACTGCATGCCTGTCATTCAGCAATGCAAGGAGCCCTTGCGGAATATGGCGCCTGGCACCATGCTTCTGCGCGACTCGCACCCATCAGGCATAATCAGGCATTGGTAGTGCGGCAGGCGCGTTACCATATTCGCATCATTTTGGGCCGTGTCCCAGGCTTTGCGGCGATGCTGTCCAGCTGCACCGAAGGATGGTCACGGCTGCGGTGCACAGTTGGCAAGGCAGACCTCTTCTCTTGTGTCGTGATGGCACTTCGTCCAGCAAGCTTCTGCGTGGTCCAAACAACCGCATGAGCTAGACTCCCAGACCTGCAGGATCACTTCAGTGGCTTGATCTCCTGGAGTGCCGGCGCGTGCGACAAGACTTCAGCATGTGGGCCGCAACGACCACATCAGCGAGCAGCTGGAACAAGTCCTTGCCCAGCACTCAGGCTCCTTGCAAAACGACCATGTTCACGGAGCATGGTGGCCAGTTTCACTACTCATAAAAACGTTGCGGAGAGGCGGTTCTGCCTCAGCAACTGGTGACAGGGTATACGGTACCCGGATGTACCCGGTACACCTTGATGCTACTAGTATGTCTCAAGGTCGATTTCATTGGTCTCTGCGCAGCGTGGCATGAGCTCCAACATCGTGGCCATAGGCACGCTGGCGAGGCCTCTCCAGGATGCACAACACTGGCAGGTGCCTGGGCATGTGGACAGCGATAAGTGCTTTACAGTTCAGCTTAGTTAAGCTTGCAGAACAACTGCAGCAACTGGACCCTCAGAAGCTGAGGAAGCCGGCCACCTGCTGCAGACCAGTAAGCGGCATCACCTGGAGGTCAGTACTGACTGCATCTAACAGACTAGCATGTTTGATGCGCAGATATGCGCGGGTTCTTCCAAGGTAGACCGAAATGCAGGAAAGGACGGAGAGCTTCAGAGCCGGAATAAGACATGGTGGAAACGAGGCAACAAGGGAGCCGCGGAAGGCCAAGGCTTTGTCAGGACATGCCGAAAGCACCATCGCCATCCTACATACGGGTTTAGTTGCCGGACTAGTTCGCACCACGTAACCTGGCGGCCTGTCAAGGGATGGCGAGTAAAAGGACTGCCCAGGATCAAAAGAGAAGAGTCGTGCTTCGCCCTGGGGCCAGTCTTGGGCCGGGTTGCAGGGCTTGAAGCGAAGAAGATGAGAGATACGTGCGTGTTTGTGTGTGTGTGTACATGTCTTTGTGCGAGCAGGGGGCTGCTTCTGGATTTCTCTCTCTCTCTCTCTCTCTCGCTCTCTCCGTCTCTGTTTGCATGCATGCCAGGTAGGCAGGTAGGTGTGTACAGCCAAGCCATTTACATCGAGTGTAGTCGAGTGTAATGCGTGAAAGCCTAAACCGATCTGTTTAATCATTATCTAGCTTAGCAACCGAAATTGCCAAGGAATCGGCAAAAAGAATTCGTTGACTGTTCATGAACTGTTGAGACAGCTTATCCAAGCCTGTCATGGCTGTCCTTGTCAAGGTCATCTGACTCCTGCAGTTGTTTGGATTGCTCCCGTCAAACTCAACGTGCGCCTACCTGAACGGGAGTTTCAGAAAACAGGGGCCCAACTGTAGAGCTTAAACCTGCCCAAAAAGTAAGACCCTTGTTGCAGGGGTTGTAAACAATCAAATCACCCCGGCTTTTACTCGGAAAGACAACACCCGACCGAGTCAAATTCTAGGTCTTCTGCTGAGGGTCTTACTGGGCAACCCGACCAGAACCAAGTCGCTTCAAAGAATCTCTGAGCTCATAATTCAGCACCCAGAAGTTTGGCACCCCTGCCAGGCAAATCTTGTCACGTTTGGCATGCTGACCTCTGCCTGCAGCAGCTCGCAGTGTTGGCCAGCTTCCATACAGGCCTGGCTTCGTTTGTTGGTGGTGTGAGATATCCAGAAACTGCCATGCGTAGTCTAACGGACCATAGAGCAAGGATGGCAGACTAGTAGCAGGAACCGCTTGCTGCAGAGGTCTTGGAAGCAGCATGTTCTGCAGCTGTCCTACCTGACACAGATATACACAACGTGGCAGCTAGAGGTGCGGCCAAGCAAGGCACCTTGCTTGCAAGCATGGTTGGTGTATCTTCAAGGTGTGCCTTCTGCAGGCGGCAATGCATCTCAAGACTGTGACAAAGTTCTGAGACGGCCTTCGATGAACCGTCATGTCCCGCTGCGGCAGCCATGAGCGCATGCAGACTTCAAGAACTGCCCGGCATCATGAGACATCATGAGACACAGAAGTTGAGTTGCAACATGTTGCAGCTTCCGCGAGAAGATGACAGATCGCGAGCCCAGGGGATTGGGAAATCTCTGGCGAACTAATCCGAGCTGTACGCCGACGGCGTCTGCAAGCAGACGGGCAAACTCCAGCAAGTGCTTGTTCAGGCCAGCTCAGATTGGCAGTGGTGTACGGTCGTTTGTGCCACGCAACCACGAAACACCAAAAGGACAGCTGTAGTCATCACCTTGCATAGCGGCGCAAAGCCACATTCCACATGTACTGTGTTGGTCATGTGCTCAGCATGATCGAGTGCCACCGCCTCGCACTGTCGACTTCGAAATCATCTGTCCGGTGATCATGCGATCGAGCCAGCGAAAGTCAGCAGCCATGCAGGTGTCGCGATGCAGCACCGTTGGCGGCATTGCCTGCAGCTGGTCGCTGAAATCGCGACCCTCAGCTTGCAACTGTCCGGCCATTCGCTCGAAAGAACAGGGGCAATCACCAATCATCACCAATCACCCGTTCCCAGCTTGGCCAACACTTTCAGGAATGAGGCCTCGAGGCTTCTGATGCTTCTGCTTCAGAAGCATCAGGGCACAGGACTCTGAGGTCCTTTCAACTGCAAACGAATCCACAACAGGCTGTCTCCGTGCCCCACAGCTACTGCAACAGCCTTGTCGCTCGCGGTATGATGGACGTCCATCATAGGAGGATCATGAAGCCATCGCACACATGGTACTGTAAGTGGCTGTCGGGGATCCCTGCCCTGCCTAAGCACCCCTTGTACCAAGCATGTTTGTCATGAATTTCCTCCTGGACACTAGAAGCCGCTTGCGATCTGGTTAAGGCCCACGGACCTCGCAAGTGTGGCAGGGGCTTTTGCCCTGGTCCTTTGTGCAGAGGCAGCAAAATGGCAGCTGGTTTTGGCCTGGCTAAGGCTGGAAGCAAAACCAACACGGGCTTGGGTTCAGCCCCACATGCTGTATGCTGATGTATGCTGTAATTAGATTAGATTACATAGTATCTTTTTGCTTCGGAACATCGACGCCCAGCATTTGGCATGCGACGGGCCTCACAGCAGTGTTTGTGATTGCCAGCAGTGCCGTAGCCCGCCATCAGGGCTTCATCACAGCCATCTCAAGAAGCCTATGCAGCAGCTCTTGCAGCGCTGGCATCTACCGGCAAGGCAAAATTCATGATGCATCGTTGAGTTGGTGGCTGCGTTCGAACTTTGGGCACGAATGAAAGGTTGCAACCTGAATCTGTCGAAGTGCGGAGCTCTCAAACACAGGTTCCATGACGTGACAATACAGTAGAATAGAATACTGATACCCGAGAATCTAAAACAACAAACATAATATAATATATATATATATATACGTGTGTTTGTGTGTGTATGTGTGTATGTGTGTATGTATGTATGTATGTATGTATGTATGTATGTATGTATAATTATTTATTTATTTATATTACATACGTACACATGTGTTTACATACGTTGGTGTTGGTGTATCGCAGGTCCTCGAAGCTCATGGGCTCCTGGCCTCTTTGCGTGCTCAGATGCTCCGCTTGGAGTCGTCCCATCTTACGAATGCCCTGGCAGTAGCCCGACAAGGCCAGCCTTGGGCTACTTGGACGGAAAAATCTGAGCTTCGCTCAGTGCTTTCCTTGGTCTTGAAACTCTAGTAGCTAGTAGCTGTTAGTTTTGCAGGCAACTTGTGTTGTGCAGTTTGCGGCTGAGGTGACCAGCCTCCAGCTGTTGAGACTCGGGCAGCTGGCGGGACTTCGCTTGCACCAGGCCGTTTGGCACGCAGGCGCTTGCTTGCTCACAGGTCGTCAAGTTTCCAGTCGAAGCGCAGTGCTCCAAGCACAGGGGTCGACGCATGCGGCAGCTGGAGACATGCCCTGCTTCTCCTGGCATCTGCACAGCCTCAGACTCAGACTCACATCACGAAAGCGGGGGGACCTGGGAGGAGCCGAGCCTGAGCTTTGCCTGAGGTCTTGCCATGTCAAGCCGGACGTGACTTCTCTGGCTGCAGCTACAAATCGTGCCTCCTTGAGGCTCCCTATCACTTCTCAGCGTGTCAGAGTATACTTATAAGCCTAATCTCAGGGTGGTACATTTCCGCACGACTGACACGGAGGTCCGTTCATGCCACGCTGCGCCTCCTTCATGAAATTCAGCGGATGCATCTTTGCCAACTGCGTGCAGACTCGAGATGGCTAGCGTAGGTTCCAGGACGGGTGTGTATGTACAACCTGACCAAGCAGAGCGAGACGAGATCACAGGATTGTGGGCGGTAAAAGTGCCTTTCACAAGCGATTGCTGGCATTGGGCTCCTGATCAAGTATGTGCGGAATGTGCGGACGGGTGCTATTTTCAGCCTCACCTGCGCTTGGCGGCTCAGAGCTGCATCATGATCATTTCCGGGTCGTCTAGTGTCTGTCAGACGTTCATGCATCCCGGCCACAGGGGTATGATATATGTGTTGGTACTGCCCATCTGCATATACAACATGTGACTGCTTTGTTCATAGTCATCCTTTCGTTTATACATTCTTGTGGTCGAAAATACAGTATAAATTGTTATTTGGAGCTACGGCCATGGCGAATCTCAGCTCCCTGGCTGGCCTCAGCCACCGCCTTGAGGAGAGTCGAGCGCGACAGCTCCAAGAGAGGCAAGGCTGCTGAATGCGCTGAGGACATGCGCACAATAATCCATCGGAGTATATTTGCTCATACGCCAACGATGCGCCCAGAGAGGGTGTGCTTGTGCTCATGTGCTGTATATGTATGTGCCTATGTACGCAACGGCGTATGTATGTGTGTATATATATATATATGGTTGCGCCCCGGCAGGCCCCCTCCCCTCCCCCCCCCCCATGGTTCAGTTTATATACAATTTTGTAGGCATTCATAACGATACATGTTTTCCCCCTCCCCTCCTGTGGAACGGGATATCCCTCCTCCTGCGGCCCTGGTTCAGTTTATATACAATTATATAGGCATAATACCGATATATGTTTCCCTCCTCCCCCCCTGTGGAATGGGACATCCTTCCTTCTCCTGCGGCCCTGGGTCTGTGGTTCTTCTGCATCCATTCTCAAGCGTGAAAGCCTTGTACAACTAGTCATACGAATTTTTGCTTAGAACCGCTCCGAGCACAAATAATCATACTAACGATTGCCTATGACGGTCTTAAAGTAATACTAATCATTCGAGTTAGCACCAAGAATCATTCTAAGTATTGCTTTTAACCCATTTACACTGCTACTAATCATATAGCAAAGTAACATAATAATTGTAAATATGGTCTATAACCCTCTTAATTAAGGGCAGGCGGGGTGCGGGGCGGGCGGGCTGCTCTTGGCTTAAGTCCGGGGGGGCGGGGGAACGCACAGCGCACAACCATATATTATGTGTATGCATGCATGCCAATCAGCTATAGGGAGGCCCGACAAACTGCCTACCTAACTAATCTAACTAATTGGCAAGCAGACGACGTGCGCGCACACACACACATACATGCGTGATTACATACAGACATACATGCAAGCAAGCGTACACACACACACGCGTGCATGTACAGAGGCACATATACTTGCCTACGCAGGCGTACATGTACATGTACATATACACATATGCGTACGTGCAAAGATACATACACATACATACACAATTAAATGCATGCACATGCATGCATACATACATACGTGCGTACGTACATGTACATATACGCATTACATATACATATACATATACATATACATATACATATACATATATATATATGCATGTGGGTTTGTACCTAAAGTATATTGGGATAGATAGCAGCTAGACGTATGTACATATATGCTACACACAGCATGGCAACGTGCTAGGGGGTGGAATGCTCGGGCTTCAATGTGCTTGTCCTTCCTTTGGTTTGTCAAACTTTTCCTTCATGTCATGTCAAATCCAAACTAGCATCAGGTCTTCGCAAGCCCTGCAGCTGATGCGTACAGCCGTGGAGTGGAAATCGTGGGAGGACCAGCTGTTACGGCTTCCTTTTACTCAGGGTTGGGCTTAGGGCCTTAGGGGCCGTGGCTCTGCAGCAAGCAACCTGAGCCTGAGCCTGAACTATCGCGAATGAGCGGTTCATACGGGACCTTTCGATAGGAGATGGCAGCAGGGTCCATGGCGTAGTGAGGAGCCGGGTGCTATGGAGCAGCCCTGGTCTAAGGCTAAGAAGCGTGTGGCTAACATGGTTCTACTGGGGAACTCACGAAAACGGAACTTCGCCATGTCACGCTAGGAGCTGCGGACCTTGACGAAAGCCTTCCAGCGATACCTGGAGGTGGTGATGGGTGGTGTGGGATGGACTGAAGAGGTAGAAAAATGGAAATGCGAGTCAAACAATGTTGGATTCTACCTTTTTAATCGTAGATTCTCGTATATGATATTGTATTCTCTACACATCATGTGATATGTACGATATTGAATAGATGCAGCCTCGGGGTGAAGGCCAGGCGGCTTCGCTTCGGGTGTAGAAGAGAGATGCGCCAGTTCCAGAAGTCGCAGGTCGTAGACAAGCCTTGAAGGAGACCCAAAGACATGCATTAGGGTAGTTCTCTAGATTAGGGTCCCTTTTGAGGGTCCTTTGTTATAAGGCTGCCGTACTATATTGGGGATCCAAAAGGGGCCTACTTTAGAGAACTACCCATTAGGCTCGTTTGGTTCGCTGGCTTACTTGCACACTGGCCTCCTCGATGCTCCTTCGAGAGCCTGTAGGCCATTCGCGATGCCTCCTGGTCAGTGCAATTGATTTCTGACTTAAATGCTCCGACGGAGAGCTGCGGCATCTTACCTCGCAGGAGATTCGCGAGACTGACCTCCGAAGAAGGCGAGACATTGAAGCGAGCCTTGGCCAAGGCTTCAAGCCCCGGTTTCCCCCAGCGACTCTGATTGTCTCGTTCTCCAAGGAACCTCTCGCGGGTGTCTGCGGCACGAGATCAACTCGCTAACGTCACTGCCCACAAGACAGAAGCGACCGAGGAGGTGACTCTGCGGCAGACAGACCACAGTGTATTGCAGGCCCTTTGCTTCGACCCCTTTTGTTTCCCTGAGCTGAAATGGGGTTCTCGCCCGCCGGGTCAAGAAGTGGGCTGCGGGCTGATTGTGTTAATATGTGTTTTGGTACGCGGGTGGTACGTAAGAAAGCTGAAGACATCGTGGCTGGTCGCAGCAGCTGGATCGGTCATTGCAACATGCTGCAGCAGCATGCAGATCCACGAAAGGTGGCCCGGCTTTCTGCAGACAACGTGGATCTACGGCGACAACTGGAGTTTGATGCGCGACAGTTCGTGGCTTTGCTCCAGAACCTCAGGCGGCAACTGTGTGAGAGTCACCAAGCGACCAGGCGATGCTGTAAAGCCGCTGTCGAAGATGAGTCCCACCTGTGCTGCAAAATGTCATCAGGTGCAGCTCGCCTTGTGAGTGCCATACTAAGGAGCTGCGCACATTTAGAAAAGCAGCTGGGTGATTTGAGGAGACTTGGAAAGATCTTACACATGGGGACGTTGAATTTTGAGGCTGTTCTTGCCGGAGAGTTTGCATCGGCCTTGTCGAGCTGCGTGCTGCACGTTACAGTGGCATGCTCAGTGACTCAGGAAGGGTAAAGATCGAGATCCTGGCAAAGAGCCCACTGCAGAGACCGGCGAATCGGACGAAGTTGGTCTTCAGAGAGATGTCAAGTCTGAGAAAGAGGTGCCACTGGGTGCGACACTTCCGGATCCAGTGCGAAGCGACAGCTCAAGCAATTCGAGATCTTTATGTCGAAGGGCTGCCAGCGCGGCAGGTGTGGAGGCTGCAAGCGAGCACGAAGCGCCTTCCATGCCACCTTCGATTAGATCTGGCAATTGTGGCACGGCCCAATCTGCTTCCGGGCTGGATGCAAGTCCGACAGCGAGCTTACAGACACCGGATGCATCTCCAGCCACGGTTGTTGCCCCTGGCGATGCTCTTCCGGCTGCATCTCCTTGTTCACGGAGCCAAACGTCGGAAGCTACGTCTCAGACAAAGAATCAGAGACTTCTTCGGGACTTGCCTTTAGATGCCCTCGGCATGCTGCAAAGCCTGGTTGCTGTGAAACAGCATCTGTCCGAGTCTTACAGTGCCTGATTCTCATCCTTTCCAATCAGTCTTCGACATAGACATAGATAGCACTCTGGCAGATCTTGTGCGCGGAAGGTTGCAGCTGCAAACCGCGCAAGGAGCATGGCACTCAGAGTCCGCAGAAGCAGTGCAGATGATGCGTATTTAACTCGATCCGAGTCGAGATTTGCGTGTGGTTTTCTTAGCCCCCGAACAACCAAGGAGCCTGCTGTCTCCACCAGTGATGGGACGCCGGCACGGAAAGATCCCACAAGCCCCGAGCATGGCCAGGATCTGTTTCGTGTCATCTACGAGGGGAGGGATGCGGCCAGATCGTTTCTGCTGTAAACAACTACCTAGAAAAGTCCTGGTGGTATACTTTAAAATGGAATTATATTGTACTCAATGTTTTACTACATATTTCAAATAAAAGTTTATATACGCGGCATTGTGTCAGGCTTGTGCTAGTGGCTCCATGTGACAACCGTGTGACCTTTCCCTGGTGAAGAGATTGTAGCTCCAATTGACAATGTCGAGAAGCAGATCCAAGTTTCAAGCGTATGGAGCTATTTGGTGCCGATGTCCTTCTAAGTCTAATCTTAAGCTGCGCAGCACAGTATCCACTATTTTCAGGTGCAAGGCAAATTTCACGGAAAGCTGCAGCTAAGCATCGTGTGTGCGAAAGGATGATGACTCGACGAGCACCGCCATGGACAGCGGCACATCGCGTAGCAGCGGAGTCTTGGACGAGAAGCACAGCTAGAACCAACAGCGGATCCATGACGTAACATCGAGGGCGCGAGGGCACTGCTCTTGCGAACGTCAGATGCGGCTGATGGCTGCTGAGGTGGCGGCCAAGCTCACAGTGGTTGCGAAGGCCGTCCGTTGGAGTTGTTTCAAAACCCCGCACTGCATTGTCGCATAAATGGGTCGGGCAGGCCCTCGTGCCATGCAGCCGGAGGAGCAGAATCTGGCCAAGGCTCGGCAGCAGATTCCGGAGCTGAATGTCCAGCTACATCTACATGTACAACCGCTCACGATTGAGATCGCATGCAAAACCAGGGCATGCTATCCGAAGAGTTGCCCGGGTCGCCACGTCCGCGCCTCGCGATCCTGTCTGGCCAGTGTCAAGTTTTTGCTTCGAGCCCCGCAGAAAGACGTAACCACGGACCACGTAAAGTGTAGCCACTATGGGTCACTATGGTCCTGTTAGACAACCAGGCTGCTTCTTAGACATGCGAAGCGGTATACGTACCATAGACCGGACCCTGTCAACGACCAGACTATCGGGCAGTGCTGTAGGAATCGGCGGAATGGCCAACTGGATCATTCCGCATTTTGCGCCGGCAGTCTCCGAAGGCCTAACTCCTGAAACCGGACTCACCCCGACACGCGGATCGGATATGAAGCCGTCAAATGCCTTCAAGCTCAGACACACCGATCCTCCAATCTGACAAGCGTCGAAACCACTGCTCCACAAGACTGTTTACAAGACAGTACATGCAAACAGTACCCCACGAACGGAAAGGTAAGAAAAGCGGGGAAAGAGCAGAAACCCTTCCGAAAGCCCTATTTCAAAAAAAGGCCCAAGCAGCCGGCCCTGCGACGTGGCCTCGCCTCTCCGGCCCTCTGCGCTGGCAGCCGCGGAGGCCGCACGTTGGGCCCAGGCACGGCCGGCCTCGAGAGTTTTTCCGGTTTGATGAGTTTAGGAAGACTCTGAGTTAGACCCTGCAGAGTAATTAGGATCCTTCAACGAAAGATCCCGATCTCACAGAAGGTACTTGTAGGTACCCTGCTGAGTTCTCTAAGCCCGCATTGAATTAGTTATAATTAGTGGTTCATGTCATGTTGAAGTCGATAGACATGAGCTCCGCGAGTATCATCGAGTATCCCCACGACGAGAAACAGAGGCGAGGGGCTTCAATCACACGACAAACCTGCGTTGCCGCATACGGTACTGTTCACTGTACGTGTACTAGCATCCTATTAGTGCACCGTTTCGAGTTGTTTCTTGAACTGTGGTCGTCCAGGTTGGGTTGTTACCCGCCTCCGACCCTTCCGATGTCTTTCGAAACTCGTGGCAAAGATACCGGTGGTTATTAGGCTTGCTTGTATAGTTCGGTCAGTGGGTTGAACTTTCGCTTCAAGCGGCACCCTGCACGTCAAAGCTAAGCCACGGCGGCGTATGCACAGCAAATCTTGATAGAGACGGGCTGCTCCGGAGGTCAAGCATCCTCAGCCTGCAGCTGGGCACTCAAGAGCTTGCGGATGGTTGGCAGAAGGTCGGCACATGGTCACTGTGTTCAAAAGGAGGCTGCTGGAAAGCTGCGGACCGCAAGCCCACATGGAGAAGTAAGTTGAAGCGGGTACTTCCTGCTTAGATCGAAACAGGAACCCTGTCATTTCACACCATGGGCCCTCCAAAGACCCGAAAACTAAATGAAACTAATGACACTAATGTCTCTTGCAGTAAGATCTGCACATCGATCTCTACCATCAATCTACTGTCGCACTTCCATGTGGTGGCATCTTGACAAATTGATCGACTCAGGCCCCGATGTTGTGGGAACCAGTGGCAAGCGAGCAATGGCCTTATGGCAGCAATCGTCAGCTACTGGACTTCGTGCTCGTGTGCAGACGCTGACAAGATGTTGTAGCCCTGGGCAGCTGCATGAAGCCACGATGAAAGATGCTTCATGATGCTTCTTCTAAGGCCTAGAACTGCTACGGAGAGCATCGTGTCTCAGCCACTAGCTTCATCAAAAGGCATGCTTTTGACGCAAAGCTGGCTGGTTTATAGACCCCATGTCTCAGCTTCTTGAAGTTCACAATGTAGTTTCGAGCGTGACCGATTGTGCTCGGTTGGGCCAAATTCAGTTTGAAGCCAGATGTTTTCCGAATGCGGATGGCTGTCATGCGTGCGAATGCCAATGACTTTGTTGAAAGACATTCTACTTATTCTTGCGGCACATCATTGCAGGCCTACGAAGAACATCCTGACCAGCAGCCTGTCACCAGCTGCTTTACCAGGCCGCAAACTGCAGTTCGTGGATGGCATTACGCTACCGCTCCAAGCGCTTGCAAGTAGATATCAACCAGATCTATCCTTGAGGACGGCAGCCACCCGATTCAACAATGCTTGGAACCCGGGATGCTTCGAACTTCCCGCATGCGAATGTGAGATTGTTGATCCGACATGTTTTTTAGAGATCTGCATGAAGTTGAAGACTTTCAAGATGCCTTGTCTGAGGATGTCCCCAGCTTCTCAAGTTACACCGGGTCATCAGTGCCGAGGCAGGGTGCTGGTCGGAGGGATTCGACTTAAGGGCTTTCAGGGCTCATCGCAGGGGCACAGCATACGTAGCAGCTCGCCCATCAGACCGTTGATGGTCACGAGTTGTGAAGGGCACAGCGGCCCCAACTCGTTAATTGCATTCATCTTTGAAGCCTTTTCTGCCCTCAACCTCGAGCTACTTTCAATGTGTGGATGGCTGTAAGTTTTAGGCGTAGGTCAAGCTGGCAGACACCGCAGGAGGAGTGCCTCAAGCAAGGGTCATGTTCCAAGATTCTTTGTTGAGTTGTTTCTAGTGATTCTAGTACCTGTTGTGGACCCAGTACAGAGGTGCTTGATTGAAGCTTGAAACTTCGAGAGGCCACGGGCACGCTGGTGGATCGCCTGCAAGATCGCCTGTGAGATCACAAGTCCGGGCAGGCCTGGGCATGCACATGTCTATCAGAAGCGACAACGCGCAATCGCGTTGCTCGAAAACTCTGAAAGGCAGTATAGACATGAGACTCCGCCAACCTGCAACTGTCAAGCAAGTGTGAAGTGTGAGCACTTGTCACTCCCCGCATGGAAGACAACAAGATGTTGGTACAAACGCGGAGCTGATTAAGGGTCATGGGTTCATTGTTTCTAGATTGATTGAGGTGCGAGCTTGAAAAGTACGCGCGTGGATTTTGACAAAACCCTTCAGCTTTGATGGTTGTGCCTGCGCCGACAGCACCAAGTCAAACGCCGCAAGATGCATGTTTTGCACATGCTGTGGGCACGGTCAGACTCTGATTCTGGTTGATGGGAGTATGTTCAAGATTGAACACATTTGAACACCGTCAAGAAAACGAAGACTTACGATACAGCCGCTACTTGGTCAGCGACAGACCGTATGCCCAATGAGTAACAACATACCCTTCTTATCTTCTTCTTCTTCTACCAGTACTCCGATTGGCACTGCCACTGCTGCTACGATCGCGGCCACCAGCATATCCTATTCTCCTCCAAAAGCAGCAGCAAGGCTCTTTCCTTGGCACAAGTAATTGCTGTAGCGACGAAGACGTGACGGCCAGCCGGATGCTGTGTAGTCATTGCGCTTGGAAGCTGTCGCTCGCAAGCCAAACCACAGTGGCTTTCGCAGCCGCATGTAGCCGTGCGTGTTCAGTGGAGGGTTGCCACGTAGATACAAAGCCAAAGCTGCAGTGAGTAGAACCGGAGAACGGCCCAAGACTCGTTGTGATCAAGCCTTCATCTCCCAGCTTCGCCAGCAGGGCCAAGCCCGGCGCCGGGGATCGCCCAGACGCCACCAGATTCGGCGGAGCCGCCAGTACCTCGGGAGTTGAGCGACGGATCCCAAGATCTCTAGATTTCTAGGTCGCCCATACATGCTCAACCTTTTTGAGGTCATGATGTCGGTTGCGCATTTGGCTCAAGATGACGCGACAAAACGAGGGCCAGGTTCAGGGCCCAAGTCGAAGGTTTGGCCCTACACATCCCGTTTCCTCTGTGCTTTCAACTAACAATCGTGGCAAAAGGTCTTAGTTGGTACAGGTACAGGTGCTTTGAACTTACATGCCAGGTGTGCTGCGTGTAATAGGAGGAGTCTTTCTGACCTTTGGTACCGCCAGGCCTATAAAGGTTTTAGGAATAGGGCCATCCTCAGCTGCAAGAGGCTGAGAGCTTCCTTCAAGCAGCTGCCGGCAGGGGACCCAGGTGTTTCTTGTGTCTGGGTGCCACCAGCACCACAATAATATATTCGATACGAATGTGCAGATGCCACGCTCAGCGTGAGATTCCTAGCTTTTAAGCCACTGCAATCCAAAATGGAAGTGAACAGATGCCATGCATGCGGGGCTGCATTCGGTACTGAAGGGCGCCTTGGCTTCACCGCCTTTGTCACCTGCACGGAAGAATTGACTTGGCACGGTCTGCATGTATTTGGCAGTCAATGCATGCATACATGCGCACGTGCCTGCATCAGGTGTTGCCCATCATTTTGTAGTCTTGCTAATTCCGTCCCGACACAGCAAAGGCAGTGCCACCACTTCCGTGCCAGTCGCCACGATCGCTGGAGACTTAGATCGTGAGTTGAACCGTCGCTGCCGATGCTGAGTTATATTCGTCTCTCGCTGCATCTGGCGGATTCCAAACATGGATCGTTCCTGTTCCGTGTACTTCATTGGTCACGCAGATAGTTGCATGAATCATTCATCCTCTTGCTCAGTGTCGACATCCACATCAGTCAGGGAACATATGGCCAGCATCCTGTCATGGTCCCGTGTACACTCTCAAGCTACAGCCTGTTCGGGCGCCACCTTCGAGTCAGCCAAGTTACCGGCTTGCAGCTGCAGTCTGAGCTCCCCACATGTCCTGCAACAGGGTCCTGGGCCGTGGGATGTGGCAAAAATCAGTTTCGTATATAGTTCTAGCCAGTTTCTGGTGTGCGTCCTGTGCAACACCCTCTCGAACAGAGAGGCTTCAAAAGAGCAGTTTTTCCCGCTCCTTCTGGCCGTTTCATTGGGTAGTCCAATTTTCGCAGCAATGACGCCCCAAAACCTACAACTGTTCGAAGGCCTTGTGGGGCACCGGCCCATGCATCTCCGGCTCCCAAGCCGGAGCCTAAGTCTGAGTAGCCTAAGATGGATATCAACCACTTGGCACGACGAAAGCAAATGCTATGGGAACCTTGGGTCCAACACCGTTTGTGAGGCAGGCGGGATGTTGTGCTGCCTTCTAGTCTCGACCCGACCACTGCATCATAGTCATATGTATGCATGCGTATGTGTGTATATAGAAATATATATAGAAATATATATATAGAGAGAGAGAGAGAGTGAGAGACACGCGCACACACACACACATAT